AATTATTTTTAATATTTTTAAATAGTTTAATTAGTAATAAAAATATAACAAAAAAAAAAGGAAAAATAAAAAAAAACTTAGAAATTGAAAAGAAAGAATGGACTCACTATTAGATGATTTTCTTATATTTGAACAAAAGAATCAAATTGATCCAGTAATGGACCAAGGACTTTCTTCTTTAAAAAAAAGAACAAAAAGAGAAATTTCACATGATAAAAAAATAAAGCCAAATAAAAGAATTACAAAATTTATTGATTTAGTTCGATCACTTAAAATTACAAAAGTGTCAAGAGGATTAGAAGATATAATGAATGGAACAACACCATCACAATATTTTATTAGTCAGTACAATAATTTATGTAATGATATTATTGCAAATGTTACTCAAAAGTCATTTTATTCTATTCATGAAACAAATGAAGTAATAGAAGGAATAAATATTGAATTACCTCAAATCACTTTTCCACCAACAATAATGAATTCATTAACTGAAATGATTAATGACCTTGATAATATAAATTATGATAATATCATTTCTCTTTTTAGTTCTAATCAAAGTTTATCTCTTGCAGTGCAATATATTCATGGTTTAGGTAATATATTAAATCAAAAAATTCCTCTTGACTCTATTGAACAATCTCAAGTACTTCGTCTTTCAACAAGTATTATTAATGATCAATTAAATATTAATAATTGTGAAGTTCGTTCATCAATAGAATTTTTAGAATTATTATTTGTTGATTTATTATTTGGTGATAAAGAAATATCATTTATACAAAAAATAACACGATTAAATGATCTTGCAGACCAATTATTAATGCAACTTGGAAGTTTGTTAAATAATATAATTAATAAAAGGAAGAATTAAATTAATTAACTATTAGTAACAAATTTTCAAGACAATAGTATATTAAAAAAAAGATGTAATGCAGTAATTTATTTATTAATTAGAGGAGGATTAAAAAATGAGTTATTAAATTATCTTGATGGAATAGATGAATCATATTTACCACAAGGATTAATAGATATTTTAAGAATGTATATTAATAATAATTATTATTTAAATTCTAAACAACGGGATGATACAGTTAAATATATTCCTGAATTTGAAATATCAAAAGATTATTATGGATTATTATATTGTAATTTAATAGCAAATATTGATATATCTGGAAAATACCATGAAGTAGACTCAATAATAAAATATTCATTAGATGATTATATTTGGTATAACTTTGTTTTATATCAACATAATACTCAAAAAATAAAAGAATTTGAAGATTCTATTTCAAAAATTATTCCAATGAAATATTCTTATTTATTTTGTATTATTCATCATTATCAAGATGCTTTAACATTAATTCTTAAAGAACAGGAACTTGACTATCAATGTATTTCTGCAGTATTACTTATTTCTTCATTATGTATTCATCACAATTTAATTCAACAATCTACAGCAAAAACATTTGATTTATTATTAAAGAAACCATTAATAGAATCTAATAAAACATTCAATTTTAATAAATTTGTTTATCAATTTATTAGTACTTATAATCCTCCTCAAAGTACAGTTATTGCATTAATTAATTTACTTGGAGCTCCTTATAATAGAGAAGCTACTATTAAAATTATTATGGAACTTGGAAGGTCTGAATTATTAAGTACAGACCAAGTTGGTAATAATCCAGAAGTTATTGATACAATCACTAAACAAGCTAGATTAGAAAAACCAGAGGTTGCTATGATGGTTAATAGTATGGTTGGTGATATGAATGAATATCTTAAAATTATTAATGAAAAAACTGCTGTTATGTTAAATGATCAAATTGGTAGAATGAATGTTGTTAATGAATTAAGTATTGTAACAGAATCAGTATTATCAAGAGTTACAGATCCTATTATTAAGAATGATTTCTTTATTCTTGTTAGAGTTTATGGAATTTATGGTTCATGTTATAATCTTGACATTGATGGAACACTTAATCAAATGAATGAAATAGGTATTTTCCCAATGAAATTTGATCAAATAGATTCATGTTTAATAAGAATTCAATCATTACAATCAAATGTATTAAGAAAAATTATGAATAATATTTATTATGAAGTTATTTCTTTATTTAGTGAATATCTTGTTGAATTTACAACAAATAGAACTATTTATATTGATCAAATGATTCCTATCCTTAAAGAAATTATTAAAAGTTGTTTCGTTATCATTAATATATTACCACAATATTTTATTCAACAACAGTTTATTGGATTAATGAATTCTAATCGTTCACTTTTAATTTAATCAATTGATTGATTTATTTGTTAATTATTATTTCAATCATTTCTTTGTTTTATTTATTTAAATAACAAAAAGAAATAAAAAAAATAGAAAAACTCAATTTTTTATCTATTTAATAATTCCTATGAACATCTCATCTGATAGTCAAAATGATATAACAGAATTAAAAAAACAATTCGAAGAATTAAAAACATTTGTTGGTGTATTTTATGGAAGATACGCAACATTAGAACAAAAAGTTCAAGAAATTCTTGCATTAAAAGAAGAAATTAAATATTTAAAAGAAGAAATAAATAACTTAAATGAGATTTGTGATAAACCACCTTTAAAAAGAAAAGTAGTAGATTTACAGTTAATTAAAAATGATGATAATCAAAAAGAAAATGTGTTAGAACAACCAGAAACTAAAATGAAAATAACTCAATCATCAATAAATTTGACAGTCAACAATTCATTAAATGAACCAATTATTTTAAAAAAGAAAGATAATTTATCACAAGAAATTAACCAAGAAAAGAATCAAACAATAGAAATAAAAGAAGATTACTATTTTATTAAAATACTTGACACATCAATTGATGGAAATAATCTTTATTTAATTGATTCATTACAATTTGATGGAATTGGAATAGTTGGATTTAAAAAATTAAGTCAATGGATAAAAAGAGATAAATTATATTTATTATACGATAGTAAAATAAATGGAATAGAAAAAGATAGTCTTCATAAACTTATTCTTACTAAAAATGGAAATACAAATAAAAGAATTTGTTTATTATTTTTTACTGATAAAGGTTTTATCTTTGGTGTATGTCATAAAAGAATTGAATTAAATAGTACAGAAAGAATATATCTTGATGATGATCAATCATTTTTATTTACTCTTGTTAATCCATCTAAAGTTCCAATGAAAATAATAAGAAAATATGGAATTATTAGTAAATTAGATGATAATACTTTCTTTTATCATATAGAATGTGGTTTTACTCTTAAATTTGATGAAGAATCAAAAAAAGTTACTGGATATTTTAGTACTAATTATTCTACTTATTATAAAACTGAAAGAAAAATTCTACATGGAGATGACACTTATTTCTTTATTCCAAATCCTACTCAATTTAAATTAAAGAGAATTATTGCTTTTGAATATGAACTTTGATAATTTAATATTTAAATTATTTATCATTAATTTAATCTTATTTTATATTTTAATTTCTTTCATTTATAATTGTTGATAAGAACAAAACCAATTCTTACAATAATATTTCTTTTCTGGTACTTCTTGAGTTTCTAATGGATCTATTAATGGTGTTGTTGTTGAGATATCAAATAGTTTTTTTAATATTTCATTAAAACAATTCTTAACATTATATCCACTTTTAGAACTTACTTGATAATATGGTACTTCTTTTAGTTTGAGTTCATTTATGCATTGAATAATCCATTTATTATCATAATTCTTTATTAAGTCATTTTTATTTTGTATTGCAAATATTCGTGTTTCAGGATAAACTTGGTGAAGAACATCAATCCATTTAAGACAATATTGATATGACTCAATACTATTATCAAAAACAACAACTGCAGCATCTGTTTTACTCATATATCTATTAACTATATCTTTATTAATCTCCCAATTAGGAAAATCCCAAATATTGTAATGGATAATAACTTCACCAAAAAATATTGAACTTGGAATAACATCAATACTATTCGTCTTCTATAATAATTTAAATGTTTTGTTGTTTATTGTTTGATTAAAATAAATACTTTTACAAACAGAATATTCTTCGACAAAAGAATTACATAAAAATCTTCGTATTAATGAAGTTTTACCACTATATGGACATCCACAAATAACAATTTTCTTTGGAAGTTGTATGGGACTACTTGCATCAACTTGAATATAAGGATTCATTTTCTTTATTGCTTAACAACATTTCTTATCATTATCAGATTATAATAATTATTTCACTTTTTATAACTTTCTTCATCAGTTTTTATGAAATAAAAAGTCTAAGTTCAGGTATTAAATCAATATAATAAAATAATAAATTAACTAACAACTTTTAATCATTTTATACAATACTTTTGCCATTGAGATAATAACTTAATGAGATAAATTAACTTTTATATTAAAAATAATATGGATATGTTTTTGTATTTGAGAAACAAAAATAATAACTAATTGCCTTACAACAATTTTGCACCAAGAAACACACTTAAGGAACAGGCAATGATTTGATTATTAGAAATCATCCTGAAATAAGTATTAATCAATTTATTGAAATATACTTATAATAAAAAGAGAGTCAGTTGAATATCAACATAATTATAATAGTTCAAGTAATATTTTATTAGTACTATAAAGAATAAATAAGATTAATAAAGAAGAATTAGGAGATAAAATAATGTCAATAAGAGCTGGT